AAAAAAAAAAAAAAAAAAAAAAAAAAACAATATAAGGACGTTTGACGAAAAATATTTCATCGACGTAGTCGAGTGTAACTAGATTTGACGAGTCCCACACTTTGAGTTCAATGTACAGCCAGTATAAAAATTCATATTTCCGCAACTTCAAACGGATTACAGAGGGACAGGCAGAGATGCGTGTTACGCGATCAGAATCCGACAACAACAAACCCCGAGTTCAAATATTCGTTTTGCGTTTGCTGCGGCGAAATATCCACTCTATTGTACAGATTTTCTCACTGTACAATAGAAACAACGGAGTCCACGATTCGGGGAACACGCAGGCCAACGATGGAACAATCGAATTTACCAGAAGCATTCTCACCTAAAAATTTTTAGATTTCAAATTGTCCACGCTATTAGCCTGTACGATCGTTTGCGAAAATGAATTGACGCGAATTTGACAAAAAGAAAAAAAAATAAAGAAGAGAAAGAAGAAAAAGAAGAGAAAAGAGGCAGAGGATGATCGCGCGGATAAAAATACACGATGAATCATTAGAATCGTTAGAATCGTCCGAATAAGTTAACTTATTTTTCGCGGATTCGCGCTTTTATTTTTCTTTTTAACATTTCTGAATACACGTCTTCGAATCGTTCTCGAATAGTTATTATACGATTATCGTTAAATCCAGAGGGTAAAAAAAAAAAAAAGATAAAATATCCCATTTAAGAAAAGATACACGAGGCTAATAAACTCGTCCCTATTAACTCGATATTTTTAATAATCTTCTATTCTGGAAACGAATACATTTTTTACCGTTTTATATATTTCGTAACAACGAGAGGGGAAAAAAGATAAGACTTTCGATCCGGTGGCGGTTAATAACAAACGACGAAGCGAGAGCAAACATCTGTTGAAAAGAAAAGAGATTGCAAATTAAGATTGATTCCCATATATCAAATGCCATATATCAAATCAACCAGTCTATATCTTTCGACATCGATCTAGTGAAATATTATTTAGTGTACGTCACTAGGGATATTTACTCCATCCATCACTGACGTGGACCATCAGCAACGGTCATTGAGCGAGATTAGCGCGGAGAATATTCTGATAACACGGGACACCGCGACACCGGCTCTTCTCTCTAAACCTAATTTCTAGTCTAGGGGCTAGGTGGATCGATCATCGATCTTCTTCATCGACGAAGATGAAATCGTGTCGAGGGTTCGGGCGAGGGATGGTCGTTCAACGCGACCTGTTAATCGCAACCGTGAAATCGTAAATCGGATATATTATAGCGTGTCTACTCGAGCGAGAGAAACATCGCGTTTCGACGCGGTGATGAAAAGCTATTTCGGAACCGAGCATTATCTTTGACGAGATTTATACTCGATGAAAAGCAATCCAAGTGGAGAAATATATTATGAAATTACGAATTTGAAACGCGAAATTCCCCTTTCTTCTCCGCTCCGCGAATTTTACCACGTTTCCGCGCTGCCGAACTCGGTTCCCTTGTATCTCTCGAACCTACTTTCGCGGGTAAAATCGGTAACGCGCGATGGAATGAACGGATCCGGGGTTTTGCCTCGAGGCGAACGGCAACAACCGCGATCCACGAGAGAGCAGGGCGATACGGATAGAGGCTAGTTGTCTCTAAAAAGCAAAAATTCATCGGAAGGCGACCGAGGTGACGCGTTCCAAATTGAATACGATCAGTACAAACAGAGAGCGTACCATGCTCGTTCCCCACCGTTATTCCCCCGAGCATCTCGTGCAACGCTCGACGACCAGCTCGAAATTCAATTTACATATTCATGACAATTCATTTGTACCCCATGGTACGACATAGCCGTGCTCCCCTACCCCTCCAGAGAACCTCTTATTAATTCCTGCTGTCCCGCGATACCCCGCTAAATTCAACCGAGTCGAGGAATAAAGAACAGAAGGAAAAGAACCAACGCTATGCCGCGATGTTCCCCGACAATTCCTTCGTTTTTCGTATACGGCATTCTCGCGGCCGTTCATTCCACGTTAAAACAAGACCTGGAAACGATCCTCGCGCGAAATCGAGGAAGAGAAAGAAGAAAGGTTTGCCCCGCAAAGTTGAAATCGCGACGACTTTTATTCATTTTCCATCCATCTCGTTGAAATATGCATGAAACCGAGTATAGGATGTTAATCTAACTCCGAGACTCGAATGCTTTTTCGACTCTCTGCGGATTAAGGGCGACGAGGGAAAAATTGGACAAGTTGCATCTATGCATCTTAAACGTTTTTCTACCGTTAATCGAAGAAAAAGTTACGAGTTTCGATTAATCCTTTTTTAATTCGAAACGCGATTATCGATTACAATCATATCGAAATATTTCCTTCGTCATTGAAATAACGATACTTTGTCTCGTCTTTCACGAAACATATTATATCGATCTTGTAACAAAATAAAGCAGTAATATCTGCGTTATAACATGGAATTTATATCCATTTTTAATTTTAAAAGCTTTTATCATCCACGTAGAAAAAAAAATCATCTTTTATCATCTTCGCAAGGATATCTGGACAGGGTTAAAAAAACTCATCCACGTTATACGCATATATATATATACGTGTACGATCGAAAATGAAATCCTCAGCATGAGTTTGATTTATCGAATAGCGTTCCCGCGGCTACGCGAAAATATAGAGAATACTAGCCGATAGATACACATTCGATACCGCGAAAGGGAGAAATCAATAAAAGTATATACCGAGACGTCGATGTCAATGTTCCATCGCGAGATATTCGATCACGGTTACATCCAAATAAATTGAACAGTCTTGAATGTGACGAAACGGGAAATTATTTATTTTATGGCTCGGTTTCACGGTCGCTATCACGGGCGAATCGTTCTCATCCCGACGTTCCGATATTATTGTCTCCGCGGCGACGAAAAATCGCAATATAACGCGCGAAAGAACACGTCGTATATTTCGCATCGTTCCCGACCAACGTTATTTCCTCCTCTCCCACGGTTTTCCCTTCCCTCCTCGAATTAATACGAGGCGAATAGTACGAATCACGCGAATATAAACCGGAACTCGTTTGTCTCGGGTTATATCTCGAGTCTTCCGCAAAACGTTTCGTACCGCGTTTCATTCGCGAGCAGATCCTTAAAACCAACTCCGAGGAGAGGTGGTATCGACCTCTCCCTCCCCTAGAGGGGACATTTTCCAGTGACCTCGGTCCATTTAGCGGTTATCCGCGGTATCTTCAGTCGCCCGGAGGAAAAACCGTTTTCGAAACTTCTCCAATTAATATAATCGTGGAGCACGCGAAAGGATCACGTAGAATGGTAGCTGCGGCAAAGTTGCGGGATGAACGATTCACCGCACTATGAACGGCTCGGTTTATTGCCGAGGTTTATACACCACTACACCGGAAAATGTCATCACCGAGTCCCGTCCCAAAACACCCCTTCAATTTTCGCTTATGCGTTTCCCGCCGCAGGTATCGAGTCAACAACGTCTTGCCAACCGGATCAAGCCAACTTGGAGACCGATACCCGCCACAACCTAACACAATAAGATTCGTTCGAGCGAACACCTCCGATTGATCCTTTGATCGGACGAGTAAATCGAAATCTTCCAATCTTCGAAACATCGACGCGTTCGCGTTCCTTCGAAATAATAAATTAACAGCAATCTCGCGCGGACGATTATCATCCTTTCGACGAATCGTATTTGGCGAATCGCACAATTCGTAGGTGGATTCGATAGCCTAGTTCGTTCCCTGGCAGCCGACGAAACTGAGATTATCTGGCCATCAACCCCGATGCGGTTTGCAACTGACGCTTTCATTACACCACTCTTTCGCGAAAACCTCTGCCGTTGAATGATACCTCGTGAACCGGTGCCAAAGTGTGCCACCGCGTTCCCTGTGTTCCGGCGAGACTATAAGAATCGAGTTCTGGCCATCGAGTTTAATATCCGACCCGTTTCGTTATTTGCCCGCGCGAGCTCACCTCGTTCAAAGGCAATTGCGAAAACGCCAATTCGAGAAAGTCTCTCGCGATTTCAAACGATTCGAGTAAAATCCTTCGAGACGTTGTGCTTCTCCGTGTGAATTAATCGAGCGCGCATTTTCCTCCGGCAATAACGTCGAGGTAAAACGTGTTTCTATCCGTACACGCGTGGTAGACGAGAATACATTTTTCTTTCAATTTGTAACGTCCCCCTCCCCTCCTCTCTCTCTCTCTCCCTTTCTTTCTCTGTTCCGCAGGACACACGGATTACTTGCGAGGCTGTATGGCTGACATAATCTACAATGGCGCCAGAGTAATAGAATACGCCAAGTCGAGGAAAGGCCAGTCGGAGGCCACCGCCGTTACGTGGAGCTGTTCACCGGAATTCGACGCTACGAGGAGCACGGAAGTTAGTTTCGTGGAGGATGGTGCGTTCACAGCGATCCCAAGACCCATTCCACGCTCGGGATCCAAGTACGTAACACCAAAAGCGTCTTTTCATCGTGTATAAATTATACTCGAACGCGCACTTTACGAGATTCTCGAATATCCCTCGTTCGAGAATATATCTTTCGAGATATTTCCCTAACTAATCAAATTAATTCGTATTCAAACTGAGCTGCCCGATAACGAAAACGTATCCATTTAATTACTCGTCGTGTCTATTTCCTCGCTTTCGAAATATCAGGGGCTCGCGCAAACCGATTTCGCTTACATAAGCATCAGTCGCAATGAAACATACGCGCGTACACGTGCATATACGTACGTACACGATTTTCCGAATCGGGAAATGAATCGACCTAACGAAATTACAGCGAAACGAACCTCGCGTCTGACACTTCGTCAACCGAACAGCTGTTATTAGCGGTTTCAGAAATTGTCGATAGACGGCCAAACCGCTATGGATATAAACTAACGACAATATTTGATGCGTGCCCCGTTTAAAGCGGCGGGATAAATATGAAATTTAGTTTCCAAGTCAATTTTAGCGCCAGTTTGCGAATAGTCGAGCGCGCGTTTATCGAAACTAAACGGTGACTACAAGTTAGCGTGCGTGTGCACCGTGCCAAACGTTGGTAAAGCGTTAATAATCGAATAAACAATTTTCATGAAGTAAAAACGAGATAGCGACACGACGGCAAGGCTAATTCGATTCCCTTTCGATTTAAATTGGGTCATACTCGAGCCGGTTTGTTTAAATTTAGAATACGATATTTATCAAGATGCTTCGCAACGAAGCACGTTGTTGGAAGGATAGCGGCCATCAATCGAATAATATCGAAAATGGATATTTTTTTTTTTTTTCGTCCAACGTATCTGCGATGAATTTCTTCCTTGAAAAATACCGGTAAAGTTTTTAACGTCCCTGTGAAAACCTTTGACGAATGTCTGCACCACTTTTTAACGGTGAAAACCCACGGGGACGTTGGCAAAGCATCTTGGAAAGCTCCAAACAAAAACCGCAATCACGTTACAACGAGGGCATCGTTACTAGTTAGAACGATGTCTGCTCGTATCCTCTAGGAAAACACTTTGATCCCACTTTTCAGAATAACAAAGACTTTTGGGAACAAGAGGTTTGATTGGTTCGACGAATCGCAATAGTAAATCTCTTATTCTCTTTTTCTCGTTTTTCTTTTTGCTCTCTCTCTCTCTCTCTCTCTCTCTTTCTCTCTCTATGTCTCTCTCTATCTGTCTCTTCGACTAAATGAAAAACGATGTTTGTGAAATTAATACCACTGTGAGAATTGTACCAAGAGAGGAGTGAATTGAATAAATATCGAAAGACACGCCAGATCTCTTTCGTATATCGATCCATCTTGCTTCGTAATATCTGTACTCGTTGTGCGCGTATACGTATGATTTATAAGATATTTAGACTCTCCGTCGTCTGTCGCCGTTCGTCATTAATCGATCGAACTCACACAGATTCTCCCAATAGTCTCGCGTCTATCCTATTTTTATTTCCTTTAAATTAACATTTCGCATCACAATGCATGGGAAATAATCTGTAACCGAATATTGTAAAATTCCTTGAAAATAATAATGATAGAAATGTAGAATTTTCTCCCGCGAGAATTTTAATTAAAACGCGCATAATCAAATTACTTTTCTCGATTAAGAAATACGCGATACCGATAATCCGACCGCGTTTCGATACTCGAGTTCGATACTCCCGAACGAAGCAATTTTTTTATCTCTCCGAGGATTTGGAGCAGCGGTTTCACAAGTCTTTCGAATCGAATCGAATCGCATCGCGATGCGCGCAACGTAGATACAATCCCGAAAGTCTTTGTCTCTGGAAAATTAAAAGCATACTCGTTGCGATTCTTAATTCAACGCTCGCTTCGGAGAATAAAGGTAACAGCGTAATACCTGTTGCGTATCGTGGCAACCGTTTCGAAACAATGCCAACAATCCTGGTTCCCCCCTTCGCTTCTATGTATTGTACGTCGAACATCCTTGGGATATCCAGAGCTCTGATGAATTCTGTCGGTGCTACGGAACGAGCGGCGTCCACGGCAAACATCCCGTCGGAAATGAAAGCACCGGTGTCGTTTAGACGGCCCTCTTAAACGCTTTTGACCAACCTCGACTTGAATAAATCGTGTAAACAAAAACGTTAATCGCGACTCGATTCAACCGTCCGAGAACGATCGTTAATTTCGTGCAATCGTCATTTTTTCATTCATTTCTCGTTTAAACGCGGAAATTTTATAGAGAGAGAGAGAGAGAGAGAGAGAGAAAAGAAAAAAATCATCAATACAGGGATGATTCCTAAGTCATCAATCGTTAACGCACGATTCATTTAGCTTCCTCTCCAAATAATATCACGCCGATTTAATGCCGTTTTCATCGCGCGTCAATAGCGCACTCGAACTACGCGCTACTTTCATCACGGGAGGCAATATCGTTTTATCGATGTTCGAATGAAGGGATTTTCAAACGTTTGTTAGAAATTACGTATAAATCAATTTCGAGTCAAGTTTCGCTCGCTAAATCGACCAATCTTCCCCGTAAAAGATGCAAACGATCGGATAATTCCCTTGAAACTGTTAAGAAAGTGCAAGTTTCGCGCGGCCCCCCTTCTCCTCCTCCTCCTCCTCCTCACTCCTGCTAACGGTTTGAAGCGAGTCCATTCAAGGAAACGCGTTAGTCGCGGATCCGAACAAGTCAACTGCGAAATTCTAACTCGGCTTACTACTAACCGGGAATGTTGTTAACCGGCAAGTTTTAACATTATTCTCTAATATCTTGGGCTTAGCTTGTATCCGGCACGCGTTCACTCGTGAACACAGGTTCGTGACGGAGTTCGTAGTCGCGGCCAAGCGAAGTTCGACGAACGACTTCCTTTCAATTTTAGCCCCATTCGATCAACCACCCCCCTTCTTCACCATCCTCTTTGTTCGGTAGATGGGAATTCGAGTTGAAGACGGGAGAGGAGAGCGGGCTGCTGCTCTACAACACCGGCCAATCCTCGTACGCCGATTACCTCGGGATCGAGTTGTTCGAGGGTAAAATTCGACTTCTGATGAACAAAGGGAATGGACCGACCGAGTTGATACACGGCACACCGGTGGCCGACGGCAAATGGCACCGGGTCGCCGTCGATTTCAATCCGAGCGGGATCGGGATCACGGTCGATCGCCAAGAAAAAACCATCAGCTTGCCCTCCGGCGGGAATCGTTACCTGGATCTGGCCGACACCCTGTACATCGGCGGTACCGAGCTCAACAAACGCGCCAAGGCGTTCGGGAAAGGTCTTAAATCCGGTGACGTGAGCTACAAGGGTTGCCTGAGAAATATGATGTTGGATAACAAGGAGCTCGGTCTACCGGATGTTAAAATCAGCCAGGGCATCGTGGTCGGCTGCGTTTGGGGATTTCCCTGTATCGAGGCTGATCCCTGTGTTTCCGGGGGAGTTTGCTCTCAACTGGGTGTCAGCTCGTTTAAGTGCGACTGCGACCAACTATCGTGTATCAATCCGAATCATGCCGAGGATTACGAGGTAAATAACAATCGATCGCTTTTGTCGCGAGCAATCGTTCCACCATGTATTTCTTTCCTTAGAGATTTTTACATTTTTAATAACGAAACGAAGGCTTTTGCCTTCCTTTCGTCAACATTTTTTCCATATATTTTTCCAGAAGAAAATTTGGATTCATACAAGAAGCTTCGATTTCGAATTTCAGACTCACTCGAAAGCAAATTTACCCGTGAACTTGGAAATACTGTCATCGAGTCCCCTACTGGTATGCGAAGGAGGACATGTGCTGGTGACGAGCGATAACATTGCCATGGTACTAGACATCGCTAAATATGGGGTGGAAGAGGACGGTGTTATCTTCACCTTGATAACGCCGCCCACTTACGGTACCCTCACTCTGGATCTCTTAACTACCAGAACCGAACATACTTTCACTCTTCGAGACATCGATCGAAATAAGGTGAATAAATTTTCTACTCTATTGTCGTACAACAACAAATTTTTTTCAAATGTCCATTAAATGTCATACGATCGATCGGTCAATTTATATCCGATATCCGATTAATTCGAGGAGGAAAAAGGAGAAAAATAACGAAGAAAATCACACACGAATTATTCGAATTTGTCATAGGACCACGAGCTATAGATAGTTCGCGGCACAAGGACCTAACTTTAGAACCGTGGGGGGGCCACGTACCGTGCTCGTGTCGTCACTACTCTCTCGGTTGTCTGTTCCTCTTCTACTTGCACCCGATTTATCCACCGACACTGTCCTATTTATAAACACCACCACCGCTTATTAACGGTTTTTTGTAAGGGTGAACGTCGGGACCGAGATCACTTATCCGTTAAACCGTTCTCCACGTCGTTTCGAATGAACGAAATTTTATTCCCACGATCGGATGTATCGAGATATTGGAGGAATTCGCTATGCTAATCGTCGATTTATAACTCGTCCGCTTTTTTAATTAATTCTAACTGGGAACAGACGGCAGATTTAACACCGGTAATGATTCACCGATGGAAAAATGCAAAGGGAATCTTTAAGGAAGTTTAATTTTAAAAACGGCAAGCCACGCGGAAGACACGAGTCTCGAGATATTAAGAGAGTTTATTGGTTCGTTAAGAAGACCGTTGGCCGGGGAAGGGAGATTGAAAAGTTCATCTTATGGCCGCGTCTCTGTCGTGAATAAATCATGAAATAAAATGAAATAAACGTCTCGTTAACGACCGGTTCATGGCCCATTTTTTTTGCTCATTTCCTTTTTAATTTTCCCTAATGTCACCGCGCTCGATGAATTTCTCGACTCCGTTACGCAGCAATTGTTATAGCATACTCTTTATAGCGTAGTATACTCGTAGTACAGAGCAGAGGCGCACACATATTTATACGTTCTAGAAACATTATTTAACACGTGCCACTGCATCGTCTCGTCATTACGATCAAATTTCTTGGCAGATACAATATATGCATGACGGCAGTGAAACCACGGAGGACAGTATGATTCTGGAAGTGACGTTAGTGGCAGGAGCTGGTTACGCGTTGCCAGGCTACCTTCAAGGACGACTTAGGTTTCCGCTTCACGTCAACGTTACACCCGTTAATGATCCCCCATTGCTCGAAATATTGACCGCAAAAGTGCTACGACTCGCTCAGGTGAGATACAAACGTCTATACCATATATATGTGTGTATATATATATATATATAATTTTCCGAGAGATTTTTGTCGCGCAAAGAAATTTTCCAATGAATCAAAAAGTTCAAAGCCACGTGAACGTAATTGACGCGAAACAGTTCGCAACGCTTCAGGCGACCTTTCGCTAAATCAATTAATCGGGAATCGAAGAAATTGTGAACTGTTTTCAACATTCGTATCTTTGAACGAACGTGGAAGTGGAGTAACGAAATCGATTTAAGTCGCTCCAGTCGTTCGTTGCCCTTAATTAACCACTTAGAGTCGCGATCTTCCTAAATGAAATAATTTCTTTCGTCGTGAAAATCTACTCTCGCGATATATATAAAAAACATCGAATATTCGAAATCAATTCTGAAATGAAAAATCTTGATGCTTCTATCCGATAAATTCTTCTAAAATTGACCGCGATTGAAATTTTTTATTTCAACAATTATTATTATTAATACGATACACGGAAATACGGAAATACGGAAATACGACCAACGAATCAGAGTATTTAATTAGAAGGACGAAACGATGGAAATATAACTAAATCCACTTAATTATCCGTAGGGCACGAGGAAAATCTTAACGAAAGAATTAATTTGGGCGATCGATGCCGACACACCGTCAGACATGTTGGTTTATACGGTCTTACGTACCGACGCGGACGCTGGATACGTGGAAAGAGTGACTTATCCGTCGCGACCTATCGACACGTTTACCCAGGCTGAATTAATGCAAGGATTAATTGCATACGTACACCGTGGAAACGGTAACGCAGCTTCATCGATATTCACTATGCAAACAAACATCATTATTGTCGTTTAATTGCTGTCTATGCGAGAGCACGATTATCGGTTTATTAACGATTCAAACGTTTCATTCGGTTCAATTACGTTTTTCAGCGAAACCGAACGCGAAGCTTGATCTTCAGGTGAGCGATGGTATAGAAAACAGCGAACCGGCGAGTTTAAGGGTGGCGGCTCATCCTTTAGAGATCAAGTTGATGCACAACACGGGATTGGTCGTGGTGCATCGATCCTATTCGTACCTGACACCGGCCAATCTCTCTTTCACCACGAATTCCGACGACAACACCATCGATATACGTTACGACATCGTCTCGAAATCGCAATTTGGCACGATTCAGAAGCTCAAGGACGTCTCGAGCAGCTGGATCAACGTCGATCATTTCACGAGCAGGGACATCGAGTTGCACACGATACGGTATCTTCACAACGAGGGAAGCCCGAATCAGGACGAGTTTAAGTTTCAAGCCAGCGTTAGAGAGGTGAGAGCTCAACACACCTACGATTTTCGGATCACTTTCATCGATCTCGAGTTGAAAGAAGCCAAGAGGATACCCGTTAACTTCACCAACGTGGCGGAAGTGATCGTCACCGGGCAAAATCTAAGGTATCAAACGAACCCGCTGATAACCGCGGCCAACAAGATCGTTTTTACCGTGACCACGGGACCAAGATACGGTAATTTGTTCCTTTCGAGCCGAAAACTACAAGTCGGAGACGGGTTCGCTCAAGAGGATATCGATTCCGGCAAATTGAAATATCGATTGTTCAAGAGGGCCTATTCCACGATTCTGGACGAATTCGGTTTCAAAGTGAGCGCGCCGCAATGCATCGATTTACACTCCGCGTTCAAGTTCAGGCATTATCTCAGCAAGAACGTGAAACCGTTGGACAGCGTGGAAACCGTGAGGGTCGACGAGGGATCCAGAGTACCACTAAGAATTGTTCGAACGAATCCAAAGGATTACGGTGTTACATCGTTGATCTACAACTTGACCATAGTTCCGCATCACGGTTGGTTGACCGTCACCAACAATTCCAAGTCTCACTCGCGGAATAACACCTCCTACTTCACCTCCGAGGAACTTTCGTCCCAAAAAGTGTACTACGTTCACGACGACTCGGAGACGAGGGAAGACTCGTTCCAATTCGTCGCTACCGCCTCGGACGTTGTTGATTTCATGTACGTGGGTGTGTTTCGCGTCGAAGTGACGATGAAGAACGACAACGCGCCGGAACGTGTGGTTCACAAGGTGTTCCACGTGGTTTCCAAGGGCGAGAGATTACTCACGAACAAGGATCTTGCCTATACGGACAAGGATATCGACACGAAGCCTAGCGAGTTGATGTACACGAGAAGGGACACGCAGAGGAATGGAATATACAGGATAACCAATCCCACCTCGCAGATACACGAGTTCAGTCAACAAGACGTCGACGACGGTCAGATATTGTTTAAACATCAGGGCGAGGATCATGGAAAATTTGAGTTCGGCGTTACCGACGGTTACTTTTACACGGCCGGTGTCCTTGAAATTCAGGCCAGCCCACCTTACGTGAGATTGAGAGAGAGCAACGGGTCCGTGGTGCAGTTCAATCGATCGGTCGCTCTTCGTCCGAACGAGTTGGACGTTGAAACGAATGTGTACACAACGGACAAAGACATCAAATACGCGATACTGGAGAAACCGAAGCACGGGGTGCTGTTGAAGCACGGTAGAGAAACTAATGCATTCAACAAAGAGAATTTGCGTTATGGAATAGTGTTGTACAAACATCTCGGAGGATCTTTGACGAGGGACGATTTTAAATTCAAGGTATCGACAAAGGGTGCGGAGGCAGAGGGGTTGTTCCCGATTAAAATTTATCCCGAAAGTTATTGGCAAGCATTGATCGTTCAAAACAATAAAACGGTGTTCGTGGAGGAAGCCACCAGTATCTTGTTGAACAGAAAAAGTCTCGAGATCATGCATCCCAAGATACCAGAGTCCGAAATAGTATATTTTTTGAAAGAGTGGCCGCAGAATGGATATCTGGAGCTACAAATTCACGACGAGCATAGCGACGAGACTCGAGAGGATTATATCGGAAACGCGGTGAAATCTTTCGATCAAAGCATGATAAACGAGGGTCGCGTGTTCTACGTGCAATCCGTGATGAATCAGACCAACGATAAATTTGTCGTCGACGCGACGAACGGAATAACTTGGCTACGCGATCTGAACGTCAATTTTGTGATCGTTCCGGAAAAACTTTACGTCGAGGCGAAGGGTATCGTCGTGGTCGAGGGAAAGAGTACTATTCTCGATGAAACCAACTTTTCTATCCTAACCCCTTACTATTCCAACAAGGTGACGAATTTTCGAATCGAGGAAAAACCGAAACACGGTACGATTCTGGAATCGACCAAGAATTCCGAGACGAAGAAATCCTCGTTCAAACATCTGAACGGTGGAATAATATTGTACAAACACAACGGGGATGAATTTCCCACAGATTCGTTCAAGATGGTCCTCATTGCGGGGGATAAAATCAGCGAACCCTTCGACGTTTTGGTGACAGTGCAACCCGTTAACGACGAGGTGCCTGCGCTGGTTAATAGGACGAAATTAACCGTTTGGCAAGGTGGATCGATCACGTTAACGCCCGATAATTTAGCGGCTGTTGATAACGATACCACGGCACGTGATATAACATTTAACGTGAGCGGAGTTCGAAATGGATTAATCTCGTTAAAATCTTCCCCGGGGGTGGATATTTACAATTTCACTCAGGAACAAATCGATCGATCCGAAGTCATGTTCACGCATACGAGTAAGTATGTTATGGTGAGAAATTATTTCCTACTTATTCGTAAACTCAAATTTCTTAAAAGATTTTCCGTTCCAGATGGATCCGACGCCGAATTCAATTTCGTGCTCCACGATGGAGTACACGCTACGGAATCTTATACGATACCGGTGACCACGAAACCGATTCGATTCAACATCGAGCAAAACGTTGCTTTGAACGTTTTTCCCTTGACCAGAAAAATGATATCGAGCAAACTACTGTTGACCAAATGCTCGGACGAGACTCGGGAGATAAAATATACGGTGCGAAATGGACCGCATCTTGGAAAAATCATCATGGAGACGAGCGAGGGTGCATGGTTGAACGTCGAACGATTCACGCAAACGGACGTTAACAATAGCAAAGTTTTCTACGAACATACCAAACAATTTATGGATCTGACTGCCAACGATTCGTTCACGTTCGACGTGGAAGCACATTTCGCGGAATCCTTAACCAATCAGGCGAGATTACAATAATCTTTATCTAAGACTCGTTAAACAACCGTAATATATCTGTACGCGTGAAATCGTTTTAACCTTGCTACATCTTCCTTCGCAGGTATTTCAAATAGATATCTCGGTCTCCAGCGGTGGATTGGACAGATATATCTCCATAAAGAACGTGAGGGTCGAAGAAGGTGGTTCGGCTCAGGTAGTGATGAACATAAGCGGAATCGTGTCGTTCCTTCAAACTCACGCTGGAATCGAGAATCCGGCGGTACTCTCGAGGCTGGTCAATCAACCTAGTCACGGCCACGTGATGATTCTCCCGGATTTAAACGTTACCACTTTCTCTCAACCCCAGATCGAAGGTGGCAAGATCGCCTATTATCACGATCATTCGGATACTTTGCAAGATCGTATCAATTTTTCTCTTTACTTGACTCCTGGTCACATCCTTCTGTGCAACACGAGTATTCCGGTGATAATCGAACCCGTCAACGACGAGCCATTCAAATTAATCACAAACGCACCGTCCATCACGGTGGTTCAAAATCAGAATCAAACGATAACCAGAGAGAACTTGTTAACGACCGATCCGGACACTCCGCCAGAAGAGATCGTATACGACGTGATATCCAAGCCGACGTTCGGTCGTCTATTGCTTCTACCGTTCGACGAGAATATCTCGGAAGTTCGTCAAGTGAACAAATTCACGCAGCACGACGTTGATTCCAATCGATTGGTGTACGAGCACAACGGACCTCTTCAAGCGGCCTCATTTTACTTCAGAGTTTGGGATGGACGGTTCAACCCGGTGTACACGGTGTTCAACGTCTACGTTTTACCTATCAAACTGAACGTCACCGTCTTAGGTCCTGTAAATCTGCAGCAAGGGTCGAACGTAGCTCTAATTTCCGAGAGCACTGTGAAACTAGACACTAACGCGAGGCAAGATTTGGTCATTTACGACATAACGACAACCCCAAAGTATGGCGTGTTGTACGTGCGCGATGGAGCGGCGGCTAGTTTCAAACAAACAGATTTACTGTCGAAAAGCGTCATGTTCATGCAAACGGATATGACCGTGTCGAACGACAGTCTCGAGCTGACCGCACGATTGAGCGGATTCGAACTGAAGCGTATAAGAATCGACATCAAGGTAGTACCTCTGATGATTATAAATCCTATGATCGCTCTGGCAGGCGAGAAGACTAGAATAACGTTGCAGTATATGGATGCGACGCCATTGGCTAAATTGACGAGCAGCAATCCGGTATACACGATTATCAAAAAGCCGAAATTTGGTAAAATAAAGAGAATCATAAGAAGTTCCTTCTCGTCCGGCGAGAAACGAGGAACTCGAGAGAAAGAGGTAAGCAAATTCTCTCATCAAGAGGTGATGTCGGGTGTGATTTATATGGTTTGCAAAAAAATTCCAACGATGGAATACGACGGGGTAATCGATAGCTTCGCGTTTATCTTAGCGGCCTCCATCTTTCAACCAGCCGTGGGCGAGTTCGATTTTCGCGTCAAACTCGACATGGATGAATATAACATCACGTTAGGTGGTCCGATGGACCCGGTAGGTCACGAGGGTGAAATGGCGATCGCGCCCAACATGAGCAACGATTACCTGTTAATTCTAGGGATGCTACTAGGCGTATTTTTACTCGGTGTAGTGGTGATAATCACTATTAGGTGTAGGCAAAATAAATACAAACATGCCGAGGAGGAGAAGCCAGAACCGACCCCAGCAGTGGGTGTGATGCCTCTGCCGAGACCTCCGGACCATTTAATGCCCGTCACCCCTCACGTGAAACGTTACGCGAACGATCATAACAGCGTGACAGCAAGTACTCCATTGCCAGTTCTACCGACCATGACGTCGACCCTACCTCAATGCAAAGTGATACCCCTCAGCCCCCTGGAAAGTATCACAGGATCCGAAATGGATGTTTCCGCGAAATATCCGTACGGTGTCGCGGATGGGGACGAATGGAGCAGTTTCGATACATCCGATCTACCTTGCCAATCGAGCACCGCGCAAAGGACCAACAATCCCTTGCTAAGAAGAAATCAATATTGGGTCTAGCAAAAGGAGGGCTGTTCGCGTTTAAAGCGAAACAGGCCGTAACACTTTCTCAAATTTCAAGACTGTTTTTTCTTACGAAACCTTGAGACTAATCGTCGATTAACTATGGTCTTAATGTGCCTAAAAATAATAATTGACTCCGCGAAAGGGGATATTATCGAAAGCCTCCATTTTATATCGGAAATTTTGACGGAAACTCTTTTTCCCGGCATCGACTCTTCCGCGACCCAACATTGTATACTTGTATCGTTAACGATAAGTCGAGGATCAGAGTTTCCATCGATTTTTTTCTTCTTTTGTTACAATATAAACGACTCTGACAAGAGTGCTAAGTATACATATATTTCGACTAGTAAAATTTTGCGTGGTTTTCGCGCAAAATATTTCGCGATGTATCTTGTTAGTACCGCAAAAATACTTCCGCGATTAACGGGAAAGCTAAACACTCGTTAAATGTAAAAGAATACAAAACCCGAGACTATCATCGCTATTGTGGATCGAATGTGCCTAAGATATTAACGAGTCTTGTAAAAAAATTTTCCCACGACGCCTACACGATGTCGATTTCGCTGTCTTTCCTCTCGGTTCGATGCCGAGATCCGAAACGTTTTCGAACCTCTCGTCTCAGCCAAATCTACGTCAATCGGGATACTTTTCCTTTCATGCTTTATGGCGATACTTCTCCTCTGAACGAATGATCGTTTCTTTATGAAAAAGGAAAATAGGAAAAAAAAAAGTCATTGTCCAACACTCGATATCGAGACTAAAAATGTCACGAAAATGTTTAAATGAGTATACCGGAAGCACGTAGAAACATTATCAGACGCGAAAAATCTTATATATAATAACACGTAAAATTTTGTAAAAAAAAAAAAAAATTACAAAATGCGTATTTCAGATTTATATACATATGAAAAATATATAGAAGTTATTTGCGACTTTTCTAAAAACAAAAAATAAAAAAAATTACTACGTATGCGCGTTCAAAGGATTAAGCAGTACAACTAAAGATACTTCGAGTTTTCGCACATATCTTTTTACACGAGATTTTCGCGTATTTCTACTGATTCGCGTCGTATAACGTCGATTTCTAAATTCTCATTTTATTACTTGAGATCGCCTCTATTCCTTTCCACACGATCTTATACTATTGGAACAAAAAATTCTACATACACGAGAAATGTACGTATTGAAACGTATACAAAAAGACCCGTTATAATTTCCAAATTTCCAAATATCAAAACGAAATATATAACTCTATACGCTGTCATTGCCCATTTTAACGATTTTTCTACTCCTCTAAAAATAACGATGTCCTTTTCTATGTAAAATTAATCTCGTCGACGTCGTGAAGGTTGAGTTTATTAAATCTTATAGACCGAATATGAATCCTCTTACGTCAATACTACGTGACGATAGAAAATTAATCGTGAATTAATTAGCAGCCGTGATGACGCCGTGGAAAAAAATTTATCCGTGAATCAATTCTTCAATACAACGACAAATTTTATTAAACCGTATTAATTGATCGGCGTATGGAACGCACAACAATGAATTCATACACTCTCTTCAGTATTAATAGTAAATTAATAAATCGCTCGATCAATCGATATCGACTTATTGATTCGCGCGCTCGTCAATTTTTCGACGAATAATATTTAAACATTTGTCTTTTAGAGCTGCGCAAATTCACAGTGACCTTAATCATGATTTCTATAAAATCCCTAGGAAATATATAATTAAGAAAATGCTCTAACGTTGATGTTAATATAGTGATAATGATAATAATAACGGTAATTATTATTATTATACATGAACATATAAAATATATACACTCCTAAAAATAGAAGACAAACTGTTTCCACGAATTCGAAGCATATGCATTAATATGACAGTTCCAGTTCTCGTATGGCGAAAAGAGAACACATTTTTAACAGAAATATATGTGTTGATTAATGAATATGCTCGAAACGAACAGTTAGGCTTTTTTACATCCCTAAAATGAACCGATCCGAGTGCCAAACTTCTATATTGTGTAACATATATAGTTATATAGGATTGTATTTTCCCTGCCGACTGAATGCATTACTCTTGTAATTCAAATAAACTGAATGTGCGATGTTAAATAAAGTGAAAAAATCATAATTACATACATACATACACATTTCCATATAAAGAATTTTGAATAGAAAAATATATAAACATATATCTACATATTAACATAACTTTACCTTTCCCAACTATTTCAATTTAATTTAAGAATTCAATTTAACCCAGAATACATTATAAATAATTTAATTTAACATTTTAATGAACAACGAGAATGAGTAACATTCAGTGACAAGGTAAGAAATAAATGAGATATCTAAAAAACATAATCGCGATTGCAGCCAATTAGCTTATATTACTTGCTCTACAATTAATAATTATATCACGTATGTTACAATTAGTAACTGTATATCAAGTAATACCAACCCAGGTCTCACCACGTGGAGGTTGCTGCATATTGGAGACCCACCCTAACCACACGACGTCCCATCCACCCACCTTTTAAGTAAAAATTTGTTTATTTAAATTAATTCTCCTTTTGGTGTGTTTGTAAAACGTTCAAATATTTGATCATTGTGCAAAACAACAAAAGGAATTGTAAGAAAAACCGACGCGGAAAATAATGATCCTTAAAATAAAATTAAAACTATAACTAAAATTAATTACGTAATTAATTCAATTATTTATGTGAGACGCTCTTTCATTATATTATTATTTTATACCTTTATCGTTATGAAAGTATAAAATAATTTATAAAATGTAATTTAATTATTAATAAACATAGGGGAAAAAACAAAAAATAAATAAATGAAATGCGTCTCACAAAGAATTATTCTATCCATCACTATTTACTTATAATTATTTATAAGTAAAAATTAAGAAGAGTAAATAACAATTATAAGTAACTAATTCTAACTAAAATAAATTAATTACTTATAATTGTTATTTACTCTTCTTAATTATTAAGTGCATGCACTTAACTATAAATATATTTCATCGATCATCTTACATTTACCTTATTACTATCTTATTACTATCTTATTACTATCTTATTACTATCTTAATTGTGTATGCATTAATTATAAATATATCTTATTTCATAATTTGAATAGCATTGAAATTTAGCATTGAAATGTTTTTTAACATTTTTTTGTAATGATTTCTTATTAATTGATTTCCCATTTTTTATATGATATTATTTGAATAATGATTTACATCAACAATGAGCAACATCAACAATAAGCAACATCAACAATAAGCAACATCAACAATAAACAACATCAACAATAAGCAACATCAACAATGACCAACATCAACAATGACCAACATCAACAATGACCAACATCAACAATAACCAACATCAACAATAACCAACATCAACAATGATCAAAATCAACAATGATCTAATCCTAACGATAAATCAAATTTAACTGAAAAATATCCTATCTAATTATAAAAACCAATACAAACTATCTATCAAAAATTTAAAAATTTTCTTTTATAAAACTTATCTATCTCAATTTCTGCCTAGTCTTAATTAATTTATAAACTCTACCTATTAAAAATTTAAAACTTTTATTTATGGATCCATAAATAATCCTATCAATATCCTATTTTATAATGTTTTGTTTATCCTATCTACATAAAAATGGGAAAACTTGATTATATATATTCTGTCTAAATAAAAATTTAATTCAAATAAAAGACAAGGAGCGGGAAAAGGACATTATATATAACAGAATACGATAATATTCTTCTTTGCTGAAATTTCACAATGGAATTTCCTGTAACAAACTTAAATTTCAAGAATTTAGTAAAAGTTTACAACATAATAATCAATTCTTAATAAGAGACGATAATTATAATAATTATACATACTTTGTAATTGTAAATACATACTCTTTCCTCTTCTTTCTTTTTCATTCATATCATTCTATTCAAGAGCGACTGACATAACGTATTTACATAATTATATTATATTGAAATATTATAATATAAATTCGTCCTAGAAGATAATAAATCTGAAACAAACTTATTTATTGGATTAGTACTTAAAAAAAAAAAAAAAATATATATATATATACCTAAAACAAAAACATATTAAACATAATAAAAAACAGATTAACGCACTTGTTAAATAATTCATAATCGTTCATTATTCATCAAAATTATAAAAATTTAAAAGAATTCGAATTCAAATTTATATTAAAAAATTTTAATACAAAAAAACTTTTAATCTAATTGAATTCAAATTAATAATAATATTTAGCTTTTAATATTAACAATAAAATGGAATAAACTAATCAAAATCATATAATTTATTTTGTAATAACCAACAAATTTTATTACAAATTTTCAAGTAAAAAATTTTTAAATAGGTTTTTTTTGTGAAACAAAATATAACTATATTTTTGCGATGAATCGAATTATATTTATAAAAAATAATTTTTATTAAAATTACACGATAATCGCGAATTGCGATATCTGCAATATGCATTTTGATTTATTAAAAAAATTTTAAATTGAACAATTCAAATATTTTATTTTAATCATAATTTTGAATAATAATGAAAGATTATTACTGATAAAAACGAAAATTTTTCGCAATATTTTATGAAACAAATACTCTTATAAGAAGGGGATGCTGAAAAGTAAAATTCGAAGAAAAGATAACCAGAAGGGCTATCAAAAAATAATAATCCACTCAATTTAACCCGATCAAAAACCGAGAGTGGAATATCTTTAATTTTTCGCAACACTAATATACTAATATAATATACTATAATATAAATTCACAAAAGCAAACACGATGAGTGCTTTATTATATTTGCAATGGCAATTAATTTATTCTTAACAAAAAAAAAAAAAAAAAAAAAAAAAAAAAAAAAAAAAACTCCCGAAAATATACACCTTAGTAGAGTGTTAGAGTTTAGTTTTTTACGCAACTCTACATACTAATTTATGCACTCATGTTTCATTATACGCAACACTAATGACGGGTCCATTACAGCCATAGCAAAGGCTGTCGTTGTAAGATCACCAATGTGCAACTCTTGTAATTTGCACTGAGTGATCCAAGAATCAGGAACGTATTCCACCGTATCAGTGGAAGAACTTTGGGCATATTATTAACGCAACACTACTTCAAAAAACGCGACTATTCATTAACGCAACACTACATCAAAAAACGCGACCATTCACTAACGCAACACTACATTAAAAAACGCGATCATTCTTCAACGCAACACTATATGAAATAACGCGATCATTCTTCAACGCAATACTAATTTTTGAAATGAATTTAATAGAAATTTTGTATTCTATATGTGAAAAGTTACTTCAAATATTTCGATATTATAAATCGCAATACTATAAAATAAATTGAAAATAAAAAAAAATATATATATATATAAAAAATTATAGTACTTCATAATCAAATTAATTAAAAACAATCGCGATAATTTTTTCATCGCAACACTAATACAAAACGCGAAATTTGAAAACGCAACACTAATTCAAACCGTAATCTTTTTTCGCAACACTAATGCAAAAAACGCGATTTGCCCATGATGACTGGATGAACGATGGGCCAGCATGCAAATTGGCCAGACAATACAACAACATATACTACATATTACTAAAACGAGCACAATGACAAAGTAGTAACAATGACTTCCCATCCTTTGGACCCAAAAAACAGATCCAAAAGATGAGAACCCATTCGTTGCAGCCCCTCTTCGCGACAGTTTGTCGAGGCCTCTTCGGTCTTCCTCCTTCGGGCGCAATGCCCGCTGAAACTTAAATCTAGGCTCGAGATTCACTAATCGCAAACCAAGAAAAAAAAAAGAAAAAAAAATGACTAAATCGCGGAAACTAAGTGCACATGGACGACCAATGATCGCAATGATCATTCTCCGTACATATGCAGAATCTCGAGCGCAACGTTCGTTTCGAAATAATTCGCGACCGCGACCGCGAAATTCGAAAAATCGACGAGCAAAACCAGAAACGAATGGTATAATCCGTTCATCTCAGCTTTACCCTCGATTCTTCAAATTTTATTTCCTGAAACAAGTTGTCACGCGAAAACGCGCCTACCCGATCGGAGACTGTGACAACCTGCCCGGCCCTACCTACTTATAATTAACAGACATACCAGAAGTATACTACCTACCTACCTAGCCCTATATTTAAAAAATGGCAAAGCAGGCATACCAACACATTCATTCCACGATTCTCACACATAATACTCGGGCGCAAATGCCTACACTAGGGAAAACGTCCCGGGACGCCTCCGACACCCGAGCTTGGCACACTACTTGCATACTCTAACTTTACGTACCATTTACTGAAATCGATTGACGATGGCTAGTGACCATTGCGTTTGCAATAAAAACATGCATATATCTTAATTGTAATTATCTACACTCATGATTAAAATAATATTCATGACTACTAAATGATATTATTATTTAACCAGATGATACGGCATTCGGTATCATTGTTACAATTTAATAAAAAAACTAATAAATTATTATTTATAATCCGGAATATTAAATAGCAAATTTAGAATTGTTATTTATTGTATGATAATTGTGAATGGAATAATAATTAATAACGAATAACGAC